TTTACTATAAGCCTAGGGTACTGCAGCAAGTGAAATGTTAGATGATCCTTATTATTTTTTCTAATAATTTTGGCAATAATGTCACATTAATTGTCATCAATTAGCCCTTGAGATTGAAATGTTATGCTTTTTCTTCATCTCCATTGGTTGTGTTCAGTATTTATCAGAACTGCTCCATTAAAGTAACTGTTAGTTAGATTCCTTATAATTATTACCAAATATCTAGTAATGTTTTTATATTTTGGTCTGTCAGATATTGTTCTGTTAACATTGGTTCAATAAGTGGGTATGCAGCACTACATGAGCCGCATGGGATGCCTATCTAGACTGGGTGCAAAAAGCAAAAAATTTTGCGCCCTCGAGGTTCAGGCCTCAGACCTCAGATAACCCTTTTAAAAAATATATTGTATTGTAATTCTATCCCTCAAACTTATATTTATTCTTCTGGTAATTGCCTTTAAAACCTATTTGTGTGAACATTTAAAACTAAAAAAAATAAGCAACTATTGAATAACAGTGGAATTGTGTTTTGGGACGAGTGCAAGCACAGCTGGAGAGGCTGTCAGAGAGCCGCTCTTGCCTTGGGCACCAAAGAACTTAGTCAGCCTTGAGTGTATCGACTAATATTAGCTATGATTACATGCACAAAATTTATAGAATGGATTCAAATGTTTTACAGTTAACAACATAATTTGGAAATGTGGTATTTATATAAACAAAAGTAACTGGAATAAAAACATACTAATCAGAATCTTCTGATAACAGACATTCAAAGAGACTAGCCACTGCCGGGCTCAGAGCAATAGGACCCAGTATTCAAGGCAGACAGACAGATTTCTCAAAACGTTTATAGGAGTGAGTAACATCAGCATCCAAGGCAGGCAGGGCCACTGGAAATCATTTTGAACACGGGGTGCACTGATAATCCTTTTTTTTTTTTCTATGACTAAAGATCTATGAGCCTATAGGCCTATTTAAAATACATACTTAAAAATAAGTAAATAGATTGAGATTTACTACTTTATTTTCATACTGTATACACCTCAGTGCACACAACCAAAGTCTGTAACACACGGACATCATCCGTTCTCAAGTGAATATATGCTCTATTAATTAAACATCACAATAACACTATAACAATGTAGATTGGTCAGCCAGCATGAACCTGAGTCACTGTGTTTATGTCACAGGTGACTCTATTAGCTCCAAAATCCTTTTACGTAAACCCCAATGATATAATTAAACTATTTAAACGTTAGTGAAAAGTTCTCCACATCCATTACAAAAATAACACAGGATCAAAATAGATCAAAGATCAAAATAACAGTCTCTAAAATACTGTGGTTACATTAAACTACACAAATAGATATGAATGTAAAAATATTATTATTGATAGAACATGGAACATTCAGTTTAATGCCACAAATAATCTTGTATCACCCCTTTCCTACCCCAGTATAAAAAAATTCTACATTTGCCAATGAACAATGAGTTGGCAGACAAGTTCATGCTTATTTATGTTCAGTATGCTAATGGGGATGACTTAAAACAAGACATTCGTACATCCACAAATCTGTTCAAAACTTAAATAGATCATGGATTATTTACTGCTGTGGACACTTGTTTTATAACCCGCAACCTGAATTATGGAAACCTGGTCGCATGTTGTACCGATGGTGTTTTGGCAATGATGGGCAAAAACAAAGGATTTAACAGCCGCTTGAAAGAAAAATCCCCAGGGTGGTGAATCATCTCCTGTATGGTGATGAAGATTCTCAGTCATCCAGGTCAAAGTCATTCCGTAAAAGTAAAAAAAAAATCCACTGGACTTGATTTCCAAGATTTGAAGACGTTTCGCCACCTCTCCAGGAAGCATTCTCAATTCAAATGTCTGGATCCGCAGTGAGTTTGAGTCTTTACTCACTGCGGATCCAGACATTTGAATTGAGAAAGCTTCCTGGATATGAATGTAAAAATATTATTAACCCTTTAACAAAATTTTAAAGTTTTGATTAATGTGTCATGATGGGTACTATTTCTAGCCCAAATGCAGAACACCAGGAGACAGAGGAAAAAGTTAACTGTTTATTGAGAAAACCACAAAGCTGGGATCAGATGCAGGAATCAGATCAGGGGCTGGTCACACGGGGTTCACTGATTAGTGGTTCAGGCTGAGCGTCTGAGGGAGGGTACCGGTTGGATCCAGAGACTGAGGATTCAGCAGAGAGCTTAGCAGCGGCAGGGCTTGGCTTCAGACTTGTGAGGTTCAGACCTTGAACCTCTCCAAGTTCTCTCCTGAGAACTGGCAGACAGATGCAGACGGTAGATCTTCAGGTTTGGCTTATCAGAGCTGGCAGGCTGGTTTCCAAACATTAGCTCCACCAGAGCTCCAGGTTCCAGTCGGGATCTTCCTAGAAGAACAGAGAGGACAAAACTGATCAGGATCAGGTTCAAGGTTTCAGGAGAGTCAGAAAGTCAGGCAGATTGGTTGGCTCCGGTTGACTACTGTGACTTATTCAACACTCTGGCCCTGAAGAGAAGTCAAGCCACTGCTTATATAGTTGGTCTCCTGATGGGATGATCAGCCTCAGGTGTGCAGGTGGCTTCAGCTCAGGAGACCCAGGGCGCCCTCTGCTGGAGAAAGGTGGCAGATCTCCAGATCCCAACATAATGCTGCTTTTTGCTGTCTGTATGTGTTTCTTTAAGTTGTTTGTGATGCCTTAGAAACTTAGATTTAATCAGATTCTTAAATTATTTTTCTTGATAAATAAAAACTGCAGTTGCCTAGAAAGAAAATAGTAATCATATATGAGAAGATCCCAGCTCAGATTATGCAGTTTCATCTTATTAAGTGTGCAGAGGCATATTGATAAAAAAAAATGTTCTGTTATTTTTTCCAACAGCAAGACACTCTCTAAAGAATTTCTATACCGTTTCCACTGGAGTACCAAACTTTCCAGAGTTTGTGTTCTTAGGAGTGATCGATGATACTGAGTTTTGTTACTGCAACATCAGTAAAACGATTGTTGAAGGAAAAAGCGACTGGTTTAAAGAATGGCTTCAAAATCAAGATAACTTCAAGAGCTTCCAAGAGATGTGTTTTGGACAAGGTGCAAAAGACACCAAAATTGCCCTCAGTGATTTTATGCTTGACCTCAATCTACATGAAGGTAAAGTGTGAC